AATTTAGCCTAAAACCTAAAAGATCATAAGTTTAATCTAATTACTACTGTAATAATCGTGTTAATGGATGATCTATATGTACTTCTGTCGGTATTTTCTAAGTCAAAAAACATGTTCTAGTTCTTGTTTGATGACCTCCCCTCATCTCATTTAAACTTTTATTGTATAAAAAACATATTTATATTATAATAAAATCCGAAATTATCCTATTTTCTTATATTTTTTAGTTTGAAAAAAACCATTTTTAGTTTTTAAATTTATTTCTTATCATGGTGATCACAATATTGACGATGGTAGTGGTGTTAAGTGTTTTAAAATTTGAAATTTAGCTCCTAATGGTGACAATAACAGCGGTGATAACGACATTAGTATAATTATAAAAATGGTGATATCAATAGTGACAAGAACAAGAATATCATTGGTAGTTTCAATAATAACTTAGCCAAAAGAATGGTAGTGACACTAATAAGACATTGTTAATTCTTTTAAATTGAGATGAAGAAGGTCTTCAAAAGAAGCTTTCAATCAAATTTTGTTTTTGAATCCTACTTTTAATATATGTTTTTTTTCATTTATAAAGTTGAAGCCTTCATTTAACTTGAAAATGTTAATATTGTTCCGTTTCTTAATATAAGACCTAATTAAATAATTTAGATAGATTAAAAATATTAGTTAAATTAATTATATGATATATTTTTTTCTCAAATACTTTAAGCCTTTTTCTTAATTCTCTCCTTCCTTTCCTACTTGATTATTATTTGTGAGATATCAATAAGGTTAATTTGAGAAAAAATTGATAAATATTTGAAATAAGTCTTATATATAGAATCAATATTAATTCCCTAATTAGCTCTTATATTAAGAATAGAAGGAGTACTAACTAGGCATAACCACCGCTAACGAAACAACTTAGTTTTTCATTGGAATAAAATCTCGAGCTATGGAACAAAAATTTTTATCCTTCCGTTTCTATGAGCCAATTTTTAACTGTCCGACAAGGTGATTCATAATATAACAACCAAGAATAAAGTATTTATGAAAGTTTTGTCCATCACACACACACACACACACACACATATATATATATATATATATTCTTTTCATTTTTAAACTCTCTTGAAGAAGAAAAGTATCTAATGGTCTGTGTGTATAAAAAGCTGGGTGGTGTGTGCAAAATGTAAGGAAAAATACACACGCACACACTTGTTCGCATCTTTTTTTTTTTATTAAAAAAAGGTTTTGGGATGGAGAAAATTTCTTTCTGATTTTGATTCCTTCCATGGCAAACAAGAAAAGAAGCTGTTCTGAACGGAACCAATGTTTGTCCTGATGAGGTGTAATTTTTTCGCCATGAATTTCTTTTAATACGAAACAACTTGGATTATCTATGACCTCCGGCTCTAAACGTAAAAGCTATATATATATATATATATATATATATATATGTTATGATGCTAAATATAAAATCTCAAATTACTTTTTCTCTCAAAATTATAATTTTTTAAAAATTATTCATATTTCATATATTAAATGGGATTTCCTTCAATGAATGTAATTCGTTAAAAGGTTATTGAGTGTGTGTCCATGCATCGTCATCATCATCATAATAATAATAATCCATCCGCTCGTAAATGTTAGATGCATATAATTAATTTATAAATATTAAAAAATTAGTTAAATTAATTATTTGTAATAATAAATATATGTTAATTTTTTTTAAAGTAGCCATTTTAATTTTGCAATTAATAGAAAGAGTTTTGGAAGATATTATAAATTTAAAAGATAAAGTTAATTGAATAGTCTTATCATTTAGGAAAACACAAAAAAATACTCTACTAGCTCTTATATTTAAAATTGGAAAGAGCATGTTATATAATGCCTAACGTGATATATTGGCTTATTGAGTTAATTGTTGAGGGTGTTTGGATGAAAATCAAACAATGATTTTAAAAGTAATTTTACGATATATAAAATAAATATATAGAAGAATTTATCTTAATTTGTGAAAAAATACTTTTAAATAGCACTTTTGATGCTATCCAAACACCGTAGTTATTTAAATGGACTTGTTATACTTTTTTATAGAAAGAAGGTTTTTTTATTGAAAAAAATGTTTTTCTAAGCTAAAGCCAATTAAATAGTTTCAATCTCTCAATTTCAATTAATATATATATATATATATATATATTTGGGAAACCTTGGTTTTGAACAAAGCTTTTCCAAGCACACTTATAATAAATATAAGCGAGAATTGTTATGAAATCCGGATGAAAAGTTTAGTTATCAAAAAATTTTAATAACAAGCCAGTAATATGGAAGTTGTCATTATATGCACTTTTATTATTATCAAATTTTTGGATGACTAACTCTCTTTCTTGAGATCATAGAGTAATTTCTCCTAAATATAAATGGCTACAAAAATACTATGTATTCTTTCAAGTGATTTTGGTTTGGTGACAATAATATAGGACATAATTGTTGAGTTGATTTTGATTTCAAAAATAAGATCTATTTCTCATATTTATCAATTTTCTCTAAATTACCCCTATGAAAACTCCCTCAACCATAATCAAGTAGAAGAGGGAGAGAGGATATTGAGGAATATGATTATTGTGTTTTAAAAAAACATGTTATATTTTTTATAATTAATTAACTTACCTAACTTTCTTAATTTAATCAAATTAGTTAAATAGGTATTAAATTAAGGAGAAGAGAAATATATTCTTATATTTTCTTTATGTTTTCTTATCGTTGTTCTCAGTTTTCACGCCTACCAAGAGGCCCTAAGATTCATATATTTCATGCTTTTACATTTTCTATCCAAACAAATAGGAGCATTTTCAATTTATGAATTCTCAGGAGAAAAGTGAAAAAGATATGTGCGTGTGTGTGTCACAACATAATAAAATGTGGATATCACGTTTTTCTCCCTAAATAAATGCATAGAATATGATCGCATTACAGTAATGATTCTCTGTTTTCAGTTGTAAGTAACACAGGCTACTAAAAGGATGAAACTCCTAGTCAGAAAATTGTGCAGAAAGAAAAGAACAGGTGATTTGCCGTGCTGGAATCAGGTCCTTTAATTACACTCTTTAATAAAGAGATAAATTACAAATGTCAAAACCCCATTTCCTACCTAAGCCTTCATGCCTTTCTTCATTCTCTCTTTTTCCTCTGTTTCACAGTTCACAGAGGAGCACTTACCTAATTCACAGTAACTATCCTCTTCATGCATGTTTAGTGTGCACATATAGATCACACTTTCTGCTGATTTTTTTTTTTAAAATAAATCTATACATTTAACTCTTTTCATATCAGTCTTGTTCATTTTTCAGAGAATCTTGAACTTGTTACTGTGAGTGAAGAACAAGGAAAAGCAGAATCATCAAAGCAAGATGGAGAAGGAGGAGGAGAAGATGATCAAAGGGAGAGTTCTTCTGATGAAGAAGAGCCTTCTGGACTTTCCTGACCTCAAATCCTCCATTGTTGACAGAATCTATGAGCTCTTGGGCATGCGTGTCTCTTTCCAGCTCATTAGTGCTCATAACCCTGACCCAGGTCAGCTTCTTCTTCTTCATCTCTCTCTCTCAATTAAAAGAACTGAAATTTGTTATTTTTGCAGAAAATGGGATGAGAGGGAAGATGGGAAAAGAGGCATATTTGGAGAAGTGGGTTTCCACCATTTCTTCATTGTCAAGTTCTGTGGACGTAGAGTTCTCCATAAGCTTTGATTGGGACGAGAGCTTGGGAGTTCCCGGGGCCTTCATTATAAAGAACCATCACCGTAGCCAGTTCTACCTCAAGACACTTACCATAGAGGACGTACCAGGTCATGGTCCTGTACATTTTGTGTGCAATTCCTGGGTCTACCCTGCTCATCGCTACAACTACAAACGTGTGTTCTTCGCAAATAAGGTACTTTTACCTTCTTCATAGTTATGGCATTTTGCTCCTATTATTGTTGCTTGCTCGAAATAAATAATTATTCTTTTTAGCTTTATTGGAAATCCCAGTGATGATAAGTAAATAATGCACTTGGGAAATTTACTGGTTGTGTGATACAGAGTTATCTTCCATGTCAAACACCTGAGCCACTGCAAAAGTTCAGGGAAGAAGAGCTAGAAAACCTCCGTGGAAATGGGTCAGGGGAACTTAAGGAGTGGGATAGAGTCTATGACTACGACTATTACAATGATCTGGGAAGCCCAGAAAAAGGACCAGAATATGCACGTCCTGTTCTTGGTGGTTCAGAGAAGCATCCCTATCCTCGTAGAGTAAGAACTGGTCGGGCAAAAACTAAAGAAGGTTAGTTAGGTTGAATCTATGAATCATAGGCTGTGAAACATGGACATTGTGTGACAGACACAACACAACACCTCAAATTTGTCGTGTTATGTGAGGAAATATTGTTTCTTCTGAACCTAATAACCTATGAATCATAGACAATAAAACATGGACATTGTGTGCGAGACACAACACAATACTTAAAAATTTGTCATCTTGTAGTGTCTGTGTACATGTCAAATCAAAGTTTGTGCTTCTCCGATTGCAACTGATGAAATTGATAGATTCTAACTCGCATTTGATCATTGTTTCAAGTAATTCAAAGGGTGGCAGAAAAACTAGTGGTTGTGGAATCTTGACTGATGTTTCAATCAGGAAACTGACTGTGTCATTGTTGCAGATCCCAAAAGTGAGAAAAGATTGTTTCTTCTGAACCTAAACATCTATGTTCCAAGAGATGAACAGTTTGGCCCCCTCAAGTTTTCAGATTTTTTGGCCTATGCTTTGAAATCTATTTTTCCAGTACTGTTTCAACTCCTTCCAGAGATCAATTCTCCAAGTCGCTTAACTACCAATGAGTTTGAAACCTTTGAAGATGTGCTTAATATCTACAAAGGGTCCATTAAACTACCAAATAGTTGTACGCAGGCAAAAATTAGACACCTGATCCCTTGGGAGCTACTTAGAGAACTTGCTCGCAATGATGGTGAGCGATTCCTCAAATTACCGATGCCTGATGTCATCAAAGGTACACACTGAAGTTTTCCCAATATTTTATTTGGAATTTGGTTTTGGACATAAGTATTATTATTTTAACCGCATATTAATTGCAGAGGACAAGACTGCATGGAGAACAGATGAAGAATTTGCAAGAGAAATGCTTGCTGGGGTTAATCCTGTTGTCATCCAATGCTTACAAGTATTATATAATTCTAGCTTTTTTAACGGTTTGAAGATTTTTGTGTTAGAAAGGAGGCATGATATTTCGTATACTTAATCTATAAATGTAAGAGCGCATTACAAATTTTTTCCCCCTAAAAAAATTACTTTAATCTTCATGGCGTGTGTAGATTTTCCCACCGACCAGTAAGCTTGACCCTAAAGTCTTTGGGAATCAAAATAGCTCCATCAAAGCAGAACACATAGAATATAATTTGGATGGGCTAACTGTAGAAGAGGTACTGATATCAGGCTTCATTTTGTTCCTTGAATATAGACGCATAGAAATCAAACCAAATGTCCTAGATCAACAATTAACATGCTTATATTTTTTTGTGATAGGCACTTGAAAACAAGAAGCTATTTATATTGGATCATCACGATGCATTGATGCCATACCTAAGTCGAATAAACTCTACTGACACCAAGACCTATGCCACTAGGACTTTACTGTTTCTTCGAGATGATGGTACATTGAAGCCATTGGCCATTGAACTAAGCTTGCCCCATCCTCAAGGGTATCATAATGGTGCTACCAGCAAAGTTTTTACTCCAGCACAAGAAGGTGTTGCAAGTTCAGTGTGGCAGCTAGCCAAAGCTTATGTAGCTGTGAATGATTCTGGATACCATCAGCTTATTAGTCACTGGTATGATGCGTAGATAAATAGTATCAATGGTAGAAGAGTCAAAAGCATATGCCTTGTTTGTGTTTCTGGTCCAACATGACTAACCAAAGAGCTAGGACTCACTTGCAGGTTATGCACTCATGCAGCAATAGAGCCATTCATAATAGCTACAAACAGGCGGCTGAGTGTCCTTCACCCAATATATAAACTCTTGCAGCCCCACTTCAGGGACACAATGTTCATAAATGCATTGGCTCGCCAAATTCTCATCAACGCCGGAGGGATACTTGAAAGAACAGTTTTCCCAGGCAAATTTGCTATGGAAATGTCATCGGCTGTTTATAAAAACTGGGTTTTCACTGATCAGGCACTACCTGCTGATCTACTCAAGAGGTAAGTGTGAAGAAAAACTTAATAGGGAAAATGATTTCCACTGGTTTTATGTGAACTACTGGTTTTATGTGAATACATAAAAACAATTTGTAATTCTTTTGCTGCGTTTTAGAGGAATGGCAGTTCCAGATTCAAGCTGTCGTCATGGACTCAGGCTTGTGATGGAGGACTACCCTTATGCTGTGGATGGACTAGAAATATGGGACGCAATTGAAACATGGGTACGAGAATATTGCTACTTCTATTACCCATCTGATGACATGGTTCAAAACGATCATGAGCTTCAATCATGGTGGGAAGAAATCCTCCACAAGGGCCACGGTGACTTAAAGGACAAGACATGGTGGCCAGAGATGAAAACTAGAGATGAGCTCATTCAATCATGCTCCATTATCATCTGGGTGGCTTCTGCCTACCATGCAGCCGTGAATTTTGGGCAATACCCATATGCAGGTTACCTCCCTAATCGTCCAACGATCAGTCGTAGATTCATGCCAGAGCTAGGAACTCCTGAGTATGCAGAACTAGAGTCAAATCCTGACTTGGCATTTTTACAAACAATTACAGCGCAGTTTCAAACCCTCCTTGGTGTCTCACTGATAGAGATTTTGTCCAGGCACCCAACTGATGAGGTTTATCTTGGGCAAAGAGATTCTCCTCACTGGACTTCAGATTCTGAACCTCTTGCTGCATTTCAAAAATTTGGACAGAGACTGATGGAAATAGAGGAGAGAATAATGGAAATGAACAAAGACAAAGGATTCAAGAACAGAACGGGACCTGTAAATGTGCCTTATACCTTGCTCTATCCCAGCACATCAGATTATTCTGGAGAAGGTGGACTCACTGGGAAGGGAATCCCCAACAGTATATCCATCTAAAAATATTATCTTTTTAGTCGCTCAAATAAATCAATATAGCTTCTGAATATCAGGTTGGTGCGAAATAAATGATGAGGTATGAATGTGTGCAATTCTTCCTCATTGTAGTATTGAAGGAAGAACTTCAATTAGGTGTGAGATTTAACATTGAAGAACAAATCATGGAGATTCGTTTTTAATCCAGTCCTTGAGACTTTTTTCGGATATAACACAAGGTTTGAATCATACTAATATTTTATCTTTATCCACACCATTTAACTGCATGATTGGGATAGTCATAGGAAGTTTCACAAGTCAGTTGGGACCCCTAAAAAAAAAAACGTATTTAGCGTAGCTTTAGGGCCAGCGGAATTTTTGCTCAAAAGTCAATTTAAAATTAGAGTAATGTTTTCTGGCTTCTAACTTTTGAATTTTTGCTTTTCTTAAGATCTAAGCATTTTGAAACTAACTTTTTAATATATCATTTAAGAAAATTTACGTCAAGATGATTTTTTAATGAAAATTTTATCTAAATATAAATTATATTACACAAACTAACTTTTGTCTCAATTTCAATTTGCAAAGAGCACGTAGGATAAAAGTCATTTTTGTCCGTGTTAATCCAAACAAACCTTAAATTATCCCCTATGTTCAAATATTAATCACCAGCATATCGAATATCAAAATAATAGTTAGTGGTTATATCATTTAATGATTTATGCCTCATAAAAATGAGTACCGTTGTCAACATAGAAATCTCACTTTAAAATCATGATAACTCAAATCACTTAAACTTTTTATGATCAAATACTGAAGCTCGTAAAATTTGTTTTCTTTTAGTATTATTGGAGTTTGAATGTTTATCCTCTGCTAACATAATGTTTAACCTCTACTTGCATCATACTCCACTTTGACCACCTTGGAATTCAAATCAGCATATCTAATCATATATATATATATATACATATATATTTTTGGGTCAAGAATTAAGAACATACTTATCATTTTCTTGTGACTTCCAATTCAAATCAAATTTATAATCGAAAAAACTTTGTTGGTTGCCATGAAAGCTAAGCGCGTATTTGGGCAGCTTCTATTCCCAAAACCTTGAAGTCTTGGACCACTTTTGTAAAATTTTGTCACGCGCAACACATAAAAAAAATAACCAAAGTTTTATTGTCCACAGAATTAAAATTCCAAAATGTACAAACTAGTGCAAAGTAAATTCACCATATTTATTTATTTGTTCACATTTGGTGGGATAAGGTTAACCTATACAACACCCGCATGACTTGATAAATACAATCGGGTGACTTTCCCTGGACACTGTGAGTACAATTGTATTTATTATTTATCAACATGGCTGATTTGGTAGAGTGGAATATGTATACTGGACACAGATTGGCCTATGCTCCAATTGCTGTAGTGGTAAGAATAGCATCCAGTTCGCTCTTGGAACGTTGGATCCTTTTATGCTCTCCCTCATTTCTGCCTACCCATATTTCAGGTACCACTTGTCTTAGTTTATTCATACTCTCCACTACATAATCTGCTCCTTCACATTTCACAGTCTTTCCAACCTTCGTATTATCAAATCAAACCATTGTTAATAACAATATTGTGAAGTAAATATGATAATGATAGTAATTAATTAATACTGTATGAGATGGGAAATTAATTTACCAGAACTGTGTGGAGACCCATTGCTTTTCCTCCTGCCACATTGCGAACATTATCATCTAGAAATAGCTGCAAACAACAAAATATCATCTTTCAATTTCCCAACGTAGGGGGGGGGGAAAAGTCTCAGATATCTCCAGATCTAATGTTTTTGAAGATAGATTTGCGAGCATACCGTACGGCGAGGATCGATGTTAGCTGCGTCGAGAGCAATCTTAAAGGCATCCGGTGATGGCTTCAAAAGGATCGGGTACTCATCCGGGCGGGTTGAGTTAGGAAGATTCGGGTTCATGGTCTCAAAACATATGATCTGCTCAAAGCAGTCACTTATCCCCAGTCGATCCAACGCCTTCACCGCATGAATCCTATCTGAATTCGTGAAAATCTGCACATAAGGTTCAATATTGTTACTCCTCCCGTGATTAATATAAAACTTATTTAACTAATTTGATTAGATTAAAAAAATTAGATAAGTTGGTTAATTATAAAAAATATGATATGTTTTTCTTAAAATACTATAATAATCTTTCTTAATATCATCTTTCCCTCTTCTACTTGATTATGGTTGAGGGAGTACCTATAGGGGTAATTTTAAAAAATTAATAAATATAAGAAAGAGGTCTTATATTTAAAACTAAAATTAACTCAATAATTAGTCTTATATTAAGGACCGAAAGAGTATTTATTTTTGAGAAAATCTTTATATAGTAGTTTTACTTACCCAGCCATTGAATTTTTTTCCCCTCAAAATAACGTGTCTTAAAATGTAAAGAGTAAAAGTATAGCACAAGTTCTTATACTTTTATTTCTTACGATACAATCTATAAGTCAGAACCAATGTTTATAAATTGTAGGTGCCGTCTTCTGGCCAGACACCTTAATCTTTTCATCGGGTAGGTGAAAGATGAAAGATGGTAAAAAAAGGACTTGGATTCTCTCCACTTCCTTCCCATCCTCTTCCCCTCCACTACCCTTCTTTTCTTTTGACAATCATTGGATTAAAATTCCAATGGTCCAGATTTAACATCTTATAAAAATAATATTATTAAAAAAATAAATAAATAAATTTAAACTGTTAAAATCTGGTCTAAACAGTTTACAATTGTAATAAAAAAATTAAAAAAAATTTGCTCTATAATAACAGTATGTAGTTATGAACTGTTCAGATTAGATTTTAACAGTTTAAATTTATTTATCTATTTTTTATCATAATATTTATCTTTATAAAATGTTATAAAATATTAAATCTGGACCATTGGAGTTTTGATCCAATGGTTGTGAAGAGAAAAAAATGGTAGTGGAGGGGAAGAGGATGGGAAGGGTAGTGGAGAGAATCTGATTCCGTAAAAAAAACAACAAAGGCTCTATGTTTGTTTCAGGTCAACGTGAAAAAGTTGAAAGTTGACTTTAGTTTGAAATGTCTCTCGTTCCAAAAGAATGGAAAGAGACGTAAACTCAGAAGCTTACAATTTTTCTTTGCTTAATGCTACAAAGGACGTTGCGCAATTGAATATCTGGTTTGATGGAGTGGTAGGGAAGCCTTCCGTGCACGAAACTGTTGGATTAAGAAAAACGAAAACGATCAGCTCAAATAATTGAAGCCAAAGCATATTAGTTTTTTTATTATTTCTTATAAAATGGAATTAATTAGGCTCTAATTTCTAACCTGTGGTAATCATCTGCACTAATATCATAGCCTAATGCCTGCAACAACAGAATCAACAGATTTCATTATACAATAAAATCAATTCGAACCGAGAGAGAGAGAGAGAGAGTAATCGTATGAAGAAATTACTCGCAAGCCGGCAAGGGAGCTTCCGTAGGTTCTGAACAGTTCGATTCGGAGACTTGACGCTTTGCTCTCAGGGAATCCACATTTCTCCACCAGAAAATCTGCGTTCGGTATGTATAATCTCTTAAATTGTCAAAGAAATCACACACGATTTCCAGAAAGAAAGTTAAATGAACTAAGAGATTAATTACCGTCAATGTTTTTCTTGAGCGATTCGCCTATTCCGGTGTTGGTTGGATACAGAGTGTCATCCAAATCTGCGTTCCGTACAAAATGAAATGAGCAAATTTCAATGAAAAGAAACTAGAGGGAAAGTTGCAAGAGAGAATTAAAGAAAACCAGAGGGAACTCACCGAAGAGGATGCAATCGAAAGGAGAAGCAGAGTTGCGAGCAGATTTGCTGCAAGAATCCATGGCGGAAATATGACGACGACAACGAGGAAGAAGACGGAGAAGAGAAAACGAAAACGACGTCGTGACGACTGATAACGTGGTGAGCTATGTAGGAAAATGATCTGACAGGCTGAGTTTGGCGGAGGAAATGTGGGGCGAGCTGAGGAATATATATAGGGCCATAGGGGGAAGGATAGATTAGAGAAATAATAATGTGTCTCACGTGGATTGGATAGAGGCCGTGCTGAGTCAATGTTCACATCGTTATGCTGGAATCCGACTAGATGTGGGGTCCACACAGGAGATGATTATATTAGTAGCACGTTTGCATGTTTTTAATAAAACCCAAGTAACGGAGGCATAAAAAAAGACAGTAAATCTCATGTTCAGAAGAACTAATTAATTTACTCCCTTGTCATGCTAATTGTAAGATGCTGGACACGTGGAACTCTAATTTGATCTCATTTTATTATCTATTTTTTCGTTGAAATAATTTTATGATCTATTGTATAACTTTAGTTGTGTTCTTGTATGTGCATATGATATCTATAAAAAGTTCATGTGGAAATATGTTCGAGAGCGTTCACTTAGAAACAATATTGTCTTATAAGGTTTTTTTTTTAAATTAATGTTGTCTATAAAGTTTCAAAATATAGTAATGTTATGCCATTTTCGTTAAAAAACTAACATTGAGAATTAAAAAATTAACATTAATTATTAATATTTTTAATGACAAATAACAATATTTTTTTCATCTTAATACTTTTGAGACAACCTTAAATTCAAAAAACTCCCGAAATAATATTGTCCTTAAATAAAAAATTATAAAATAAATTTGCACATTAATAAATAACTTTAAAGTGTAAATTTGTTTGAAATCTTTTACCCAAAAATAATGTTGTCCTGGAATTTTTTTTTTTTCAGTGTTCCTCAAATTTCAAAATGTAGTAATATTGTCCTATCATTTTAAGGAACTAACATTAACAATAAAAAAAAATTTATATTGACTGTTAATATTTTCAACTATAAAGAGCAACATTGCTTTATTTTAACATTTTCGGAATAATTTTGAATTTAAAAAAACAAAAGCTTTGGAGATAATATTATATTGTTTTTAACTTATTTACTATAGTTTAATAACAATTAATAATATTTGAAAGTAAATGATAATATATTTTTCTTGACTTGGGATTTTAAAAGTATTTTATTTTAGATTTTTCCTTAGAAAAGTAATGAATAAATTTTCTTTTTTTACGAGCAAAAAGGTAATGTATAGCTGGCATTTTCATCCTTTCCAAGAATTTCGAATTCTAAGTAAGTAAACCACTGGTTCATCAGGTCCATCGTCCCCGTATAAAATCCATGTAGGAAGTGTTTGGGTAACCCTAAAAGTACTTTTTAGTAAA